TCTGACCTGAAATCTACTGGCTGGAAGTGCTGAAGCTGTCTGCGCGATGTTACAGTAAAAGCCAGAAAGTTGGAATATCATTATCGTAACCCCTTTAAGGTAAAATAAGGGGGATCCTACCATTAATCCATATTCCAACTTTCTGGAGTTCCCTTTAGAGTGCAGGCAAAGGGAACTGCACCCCAAACCCTAAACCACCGGCGGTCTCCCGTCTATACCTGAGATCGGAGTACTTGGAGGATCATGGGACTTAGTAAGTAAGGTTTTAAGTACCCTAATTGGGGTTATAAGTATAGTTACCCTAATAATAACTCTAGTTACTAAGCCCCATGACCCTTTAAGTATCTTCTTCGGGGTTAGACTCCAACACCAGGCCCAGCCCCCAAACTTAAGCCCCGAAGCCCAACTCCCCAAGCTCCAAGCACAACCCGATCATCATGGTCATCATCCATACCTCCTTTAACTTAGAAGTACGGGGCTCGGAAACCCTTAGGGTTCAGGGTTGAGGGTTCAGGGTGCCCTAAAGCCTAACCCGGAACGGTTTAGGGTTTAGGGCTTAGGGTCTTCATCATCATCATCATCATCACTGCCAGCAGCCACGCCTTGTAGCGCGACGGAGGCTGGCGGATTCCACATGCCCAAGGAGAAGGCCACATGGCCTGGATTGGTGACAAGAAATTACTTCAAGCAACATAGATTCATAGATAGATAGATAGGTAAATAACCTGGTAGATAGCTAGCTTGATAGACGAACCCATATACAAACCTATAACAAGCTACACCTAGACCTATACCTATACAATATACATACATATACACATTTATGGTCATACCGTTAGACCCATATTCATATTCATATTCGTATTCGCGTTCATACTCACTCATATATGCATGCATTCATGTGCTCATATAAGGTTCACTGCTTCAGTCACTTTTCTGATCATGTATTTGTTTGAAGGTTTACTCGTGTACTTGTCTGTCTGGCCATGTACGTATCTAATAATTTTTGACTTAACTGATGAGCTTATTTAGTTTATTCAATTAAGTACTTAGTTAACCTCTGCATGTCTTCATTTATTCACTTAATTACTGCATGTGTCCAAACCTTGGCTTTTTCAACAGTCCTTACTTCCCCAATAAACCATGAAAATAGAAGATTAAACTTTCCGATTCCTACTAAAAAAAAAAAACAAAAAAGTTTAAAGGTTGGGTATTGGGGATCTAAGAATCTCGTTCGCTTCATAGCAAGAGCCGCGTGGCTTCCAGCAGCGAGGGAGTAGGGGAGGCGCAGGAGGGCCGACTGGCCCTCCACTCCTTGAACTCAGGGATTTGGGGTTTAGGGTTTAGGGTTCGAGGTTTAGGGTTTAGGCTTGCGGCTTGATTACGGTTCAAGGGCGGCAAGCTGGATACTGGTTGGGGGTTAGAGTTGAATCGCCTTGGTTCGTGGCACATGGGAGGTCTTGGTGCTCACCAAGAGCAGCGACTGTTCCTCGAGGGGTCGAAGTTTCAACGCCACTGTTTGCATCGACAATTCTGTCAGGTTGAGTTTAGTGGTGCTAAGGCGGTTGATGGGTAGTTTGAACGACGAGGTCGAAAAATACGTCAAGACCCTAAGCCCTAAACTCTGCGACGAAAACGGACCCTGAAGGTAGCTGCGCCAATACTCCTCCCGTGGAAAGGATCAGGCTCCGTGTTGCCAGGGTCTGGAGCAGCCCTATATAAATTCTAGGGTTTAGGCTTGAAGCTTTCGTGTTTAGAGACCAAGGTTTAGGATGTAGGGATTACGGACTGAAGCTTAGGGCAAAGGTTAGGGATTGGGGTTTAGGGTTCAGGCTTGATTAGGCGCTTAGGGTTTGCAGGGTTTAGAGTTCAGGGAGACTTTTCGGAACATCCCTACCCTAAAACCCTGCATTGAAATTGGTTCGATTCCTAGAACCGCTCAAACAATCTTCAACACCCTAAACACCTTCCCCACACGAAGAGCACCCTAGCAGTTCCACCAAAAAAAACACCGCCCAAGCTCGGCAGCTCGTTCCGATGGGTAGGCCGGCGTGAACCTGAAACCTGGGACGATGTGTTTGGTGGTTTGTTTTGTTTTGTCTAAGATGCTACAGCGTCTTTGATGGCGTTTAGTGTTCAGGGTGTTGTGGTCATTGCTTGGTGTCTTTCTGTTGCTCTGCTTAGAATTTTAGGGTTCTGTATGCCTTCTGGGGGAGGGATTAAGGATTTGCGGCTTAGGGATGTAGGGCCAACAGTTGGGCTTTGGACTTTAGCGCGCTTGGAGTTTTTAGGATCTACGGTTACGGGGTTCAAGCTGTCAGGCTCAGGCTTTAGGGTTTTTACCACTTCGCCGGTGCCAGCTATAGAGTTGAAGACACGTCCGGCCTTGAAATTTCCGGCATGGGGCCAAGACCCCATTTGGAGTGCAGAGGAGGACTGACTACTTATCACTGATCACCTTGCTGCTGGCCGGCGACATGCTTCGACATGAATCGTTACGCGCAGCCCAGAATCCCAGACCTTACATGACCCTAAGCCCGATTCCGTATCCGGCGTTGCCCGACTCAGGCTTCAGGGCCTCAGAACCTCAGGGTCCATGAGTTTAAGCACTTAGGCACAAGGTTGATAGCTCGGGTCGTAGGGCACTGTATCTGCGTCTCTAATGACCACAATTCCACAGTTTCGTATCAGTAGGATCCCGCTGGAGTTATCCTACGACGGCTTGCAAGTGTCGTGTTGCAGAGAAGGGTCCAGCCGGAACTTTTGACATCAGGAGGTTTATGTAGTTTTCGGTGATGAGGCAAGCTGTATACTTTATGCCCAAAATGAAGTTTGCATCACCCCAGAAAATCTCTGCTCCAGACCACAAGTCCCAGGAGTGTGAAGAGGCGCGCATGGTTGTTTAAAGGCATGGAGGAATAATGTTGTCTGCTATTCAAGCTCCGTCTCCAATGTCTGAGCTTACATACCTGCTTCGCATCGTTTCAAAGTAAAGCTTAGGATTTGAAACCCTAAACCCAAAACCCTGAGCCACGCATGGTTGCTGAAGCCTAAACCTTTAAACCGTAAGATTTAGGGTTTACGGTTTGAGGCTGCCGACAAGCTCTGTTGACCTTGAGCCTCCAAACCCAACGTCGCCCGTACAGAACCTAAACCTTTAACCCTAAATCCAACAACCCTCCGTAAAGGACCCGTTTAACATCCGTAAATTAGCCAAAAGCCTTAAATCCGAAGCTTCAACCCAAAATCCCTAACCCCCTAAAGCCTAAACACCGAACCCCAAAGTCCCTAACCCCCTGAACCCTACGCCCCAAACCCCCAAATACCTAACCCCCTAAACCCCAAAAAAATTGATATGTCTCTTGAAAGAACCATTGAAGGAGTCCACAACTCGAAGCCAGAGCGGCTGGATGCAGTCGCCATCCCACTGCTCCCCCAAGAAGAAGCCATTCGGAAGCCTAGGCTGGTTCCCGAAGACCTAGTGCCTCAAGGTTCTGGGGTATACAGCCCTTGTGCTTTACGGCTTCATGGTTTCATTGCCTTAAGATATTACGGTTTAAGGTTTTGGGTTTTAAGGCGTTTGCGGTTGGGGGCTGTAGGGCTCTAGGGTTTAAGGTTTTTTGCATTTGGACAATGACACCCCTCCCCTTCAGACCCCATTTTTTGAGCTCCCAAACCCCTCTCGTCCCTTTGCTCCTGCTCTTTCCATCGTCCTTTCCGGCACACTCCGCAGCCTTCTGAATTCAAAACAGCACGTCGGCCGTCGCCATTATCAACCGAATATCAATTTTGGTATTTTGCCGGGTTCTGCTTTATGAAACCTAAAAATCGGCACTAAACTCTCCAGCTTCGAACCCTTTCAAAAATCATTGATTGCTTGTCACAGCTCTGCTATGGGAGCATCTTGGGGTTTGCCCACAGCCCTTTGTGCCCAGAGCTGCTTCACATATCCCGACTCGCCACATGCAACCAGCTTTACAGTCGCTGTGACCAGATCTCTTCCATACGGGCCTTTGATCCCTGAATCCCTGCCCCTTCCATACTGGTGCAGGCACAGCTGGGAGTATTGACAGTATTGCCAATGACCCGTGGGTGCCTCCTCCATTGAATGTACTGGCAAGCGGTCCGAAAGAGGTCAGCTACATCGGGCTTCCCACACCAAGCTGCAAGAGAGGCCCAATCTATATCATTGACATAGGTCCTGCCAAATAGTCTCACCTCTTCGACCTTCATGCCGCTCGGGTAGGCGACCCTCAACAGTCAAGGTTGTCGGCTCAATCCTCAGTGCTGTGTTTCCAAAGGTATGGGATCAAGGCATGTTCTGTACTCTACCAAGCATGTGCACAAACCCTGCGGCACATCGCAACTCGTCCTCCCGGCATTCGTTCGACCCAGAGTCTCACACACACACACACACAGAGAGACTGCGGCAAATCACAATCGTCAGTTTCAGCACATGCAGCGAGTCTCAGGCTCGCAATGCGCATTTGCAGAACATCATCGTCTTTACTCAACGATGAAGTATTGCAAGCTGGGGACTCAAGGCCTACTGCTTCGAAAATAGTTTCGGGCTTTTAATCAGCCAAACCTGTTGTCAACATCTTCTGCTGGCTTCCAGGGTTCATCGTTGCAATCAGCCTTGTAAGCTCGCTTGTGCCCATGCTTGTTGCTCAGGCCTGTGCACGAGACATTGGTAAGCTGCAAGCTTCAACTCTGGCACCTCCAGATGCTGCCCAGCACCAGCAGCAGCACTGAAAAGGCCTTCATCACTTGAGGTTCGCAGAGCTGCCTCCCTGGATGCCAAGATAGCTTTTCTGGGTATTTTCAGGGTGCACGGTGGAGGTTGCAACTCCATGAGGTTGTGGAACAAGAACTCCCTCAAGCCATCCCGGACTGCAAGGGTGCAGCTCAGTCTGAACTCAACCCTCATCCTTCCCATCCGACCTTGGCCAAGCTCCCTTGCTGATACAAGGGCTCCCTGCACTTCGCTCACCTGCTCTTCAAGATGCTCCTCCTGCCCCTTCGCCCAATTTGCCTAGCATGGTGCACTGCTCGACCACGTTGGCTTCGGTCCAGTCTAGATCTCTGATGGAAGATTTGCAGGGAAGGAGCAAGGGCATGCCCTCGTCTTTCACCTGCCATCCAATGTCGATGACTGCATCGACAAGTACTCTTCCGGCATGTCGTCTACTTCGAAATCTTGCCAGAGTGGTAGGATGCAGCCCTTGTAGATGAAACCGGTAGTTTCATCCCAAAGCCACACACCCACAACTTGAAGTTGTGGGCTCGCATTTTGCTAGTAGAGCACTGCGTTGGACATTTGCCCAGATGGAGCTTCTTATGCTCTTTGTGAGGCGGAGCTAGAAGTGGATCACATGCATCCGCCTTGGCCGTTTGGTGATTTCTACATTCTCAAAACTTCTCTCGGGGCAAGACCTCGCGTATCTTAACCAAGAACATGTCCAACACAGTCACAACTAACTGTTCAAGTCTCATAAATGCACACACACACACACACACACACGCACAGAGACCGCTGTCTCGACTCGCCCACACAATGCACAAGCACTCTACAGCCCTAACCTTCAGATTATACATGTTAAAACTATTGAAAAACCATGCCTGCTTTGATGGTGTGCAGAGTCGCGCACAAGCACATCTCTCCAGCCTTGTGCCGAAAACATGAACCTGTTCTTGCGGAGCACGCGACCTTTCAGGACTGAGCCCGGCAGCAGCAGCAGCAGCAGCAGCAGCACGATCAGCCAGCAATGAGCGAAGCCGGTTGCGAGGGGTTGTTGCGATCCCCACCGCAAAGGCAAGCGAGCGTAAGGCTTCTTACGTTGGGGCGTAGGCTTCTTGGCTTATGGTGCAGGGATTTCGGCTTTGGCACATAGGGTCTAGCGATTCGCGGTTTAGGTTTTGAGCTTTTCGTGCTTAAGGCTTTAAAAGCTTAGGATTTAGTAAAAGGTCAGTTTCCAGGAGGGGTACGGGAAAAGACGGGTTGGAGGCATCATGACTGTTTCGATGCACGTGGTACATTATTGACCTAGTGACTTCCTCAAGCATAGACCCTAAACCCCAAACCCTAAACCCGTTTGACCTAAGAATGTCGTATTCTTGGTTCTTGTGCTCCTACTCCCAGAGCCTCCAAAACCCCTTAATTAAGGAATATACCTTAAAATATATTAGGGATCCTATTATACTTTAAGGTATATTCCTTAATTAGGGGTTCTTGTGCTCCATGGCACGTGAGGCGCAGGCAAAGCACGGACTCCTCCGTGGCTGGAAGGACGGACTCGCCGGCGAGCCTCGAAATCTGCGGCTCAGGGATGGAATCTCGGGGCATTGGTTCGGGCAAGGGCTTGGGGCTTAGGGCCCGGGGTTTAGGTGGGGCCCGTAGACCATCAACTTCCTTAACTGCCCCAAACCCTTCTCAAAAAACCCTGAAAAGCCAGAAGAACTCCAAACAAGAGTCTAAAAAGCCAAAGCCTGAAAAGCAATAAAACCCATCCCCCCCCCCCCAAAAAAAAAAAAAAAGTAGCACCTGGTGGGAAAGACGGGAAGCTTCAGATCCACGCGAGCCGCCCCGAGCTGCGTCACGAGACGCCGATCGGCCACTGCCAAACGCGTGAGCCTGACTTTCAATGTGGGTTCTATAGGGTTTAGGGTTTAGGGTGTTTCATGGAGTTTTATGGGGTTTAGGGTTCAGGGTGCAGGGTTTTTAGGGTTCAGGTTTTGTGGAGCTTGTCCAGGAATCTTCGAGAGGTTGCGTAAGGCTGCTATAGAGATTTGCGGCTTTTATAGGGCTCCTTTCGGAGTGCGTAGAGTTTCACGGGCAGTATATACTGAATTGCGATGTAAGGGTCGGAATTAAGATCTAGACACCCTGAAAATGATTTTGTAAGGGTTCCGGTAAGCTTTAAGTGTTACGTACGGGATGTATAAGGCTTTAGGCTCTCTTATGAGAGTCGAAATAATTAGCAGTGTTGTTCCCATGCAGCCCCCACATGTAGAAAAACATACACTCCCCAATCCGTATTCCTATGATAAAGGCCCCACCAGCTTGATTTTGTTGGGGTCTTTCCGTGCTTGTAGAGTTTCGTGGATGCTATGTTGTTTTGTCATCTCACGAATGTTGCAGTGTTGTTATAGTGGTTTCAAAGGCTTAGCTTCTAGAGGGGTTCCTTTAAAGCTACTGTACCGCCTCTGCATGGGTTCTACAGGAGTGCAGGGGTTTCCGGCTGTTTAGGGTTTAAGGGTCTCGGGGTTTGAAATGCTTCTGCCTTGATAACTTCGGGGTTTGGAGTCTGGGACTCCGCATCCATGCGACGTCATGCGAAGCATTCGATTCGAAGCTGAAAGTTCGTTTTGAAGGGTTTTGAGTTCAGTGTATCGCGTCTGCACATTTACAGAGGCTACGGCTTCTGACCCTAAACCCGAAACCCTAAACTCTCAAACTTAAATCCTAAACCTAAAGACCCTTAAAGCTAAAACATCCCCGAAAACCCCTAAACCCACTTTGAGGACTCCGAAACAAGGACTCGACACGCCCTTCTGCTGACATTTGCTTGAACTATGCAAAAACAAAACACCCTTTAAACCGTTTGTGTTTGGAGCTAGGCTGGCAGGTTTAGGGCAATACTTGTTGGGTTTACGTTTAGGCTTCGTCTAGAAGAACCCCTTACCCTTGCTCCCCGCAGAGTCGCGTGGATTGGGGCTTTGGCGTTGAGTTCAGCATCTACTTTTTGTCGGTTTTCGAACCCTAAATGCTAAACCCCCTCAGAACGACTTCGAAAGTCGGCCTCACCCGGAATAGAGCGAAGTCGGCCACGACCTTCGGCGTTAGGTTCTCGCGCTCTTTTGCTTATCTTGAACTGCTTTGGATTGCAAACTGATGAGCTTCAGTCTAGGATTGTGGGGAGTTCTAGAACACGAATGCTAGGGATCCCCCGCAACGATATACGGAATTACTCAACGTTACTACCCTTGACTTGTCACTGCACTCGAGGTTCACTGCAAGCAACCCCAATTTCTGGGAGTTCAATAGTAGATGCAAACATACATTTGAGTCTTACCTTTCGGCAAACACTAGGTTTCGTATTGGGTTAAGAGATGTGGGATTAGCTTTCATGGTTTTTGAGTCTACTCAACGAGAGCCCAAGACTACTTAGTTGAAAGAGTCAACTCTAAGTTGTAAGCGACTTCACATCACGATTAAAAGTACAGTCGTTAATTGCCCCATGAAGCGCACACGGGATCCAGCAAAAGAAGCACGCTGCAAGCAAAAAGCAACCCAAAGCGGTTAAGCCAAACACCAACCCTGAACATCAAAACTAAACCCTGAACCCTTATACTTACCTTTGTTTAGTAGGGAATGGAGGACTGGGGTACAATTATAACTACTATTACTACCATTCTTCCATTCCCTACTAACCAAGGGTAAGTATAGTGCACCCTTGTAACAGCTTTTATCACATCCCTTCAAGGCGCACCTTGCGGAAGCCTACCTAGAGACTCCAATATCCCTTAATGTGGGAATATACCTTAAACCATATTACGGATCCTGCTATAACTTATGGTATATTCCTTGATCATGGGAATCTCATCCTAAATCCTATAGACCCCTTTTAAAGGAACCCTTAAAGGGATATTTGGCCTACACCCTCTTCTCCAAGGGTAAAAGGAGGGACCCTTAATAAGGACCCCTAGGTATATACCCTTAATATGGCCATTATATACCCAGTATATAGCCCAATATAGGGTAGGGGTCCCCATTAAGGGTCCCTCCCTTTCCCCTTTGATCTTCAGTTACCCGTAAAGTCACATCCCAGGGGCGTCAAAGGGCGCCGCCAAAGCCGAGGCCAGGCTCGCGCCAGTGCCCGACGAGCCGAGCCTCGGGGCAGGCTTCCTTTAAAGGAATCTATAGGGTTCCTAAAAGGGATGTATAGGGCTTAAGGGTTTAGGGGACTCCAAGATCCCTTCATTAAGGAATATACCTAGAAGGGATCCTAATAAAGGTGCTACTATAAGACTATAAGGTTTAGGGGTTTTGGGGTTCAGGGTAGAATCATACGGAGCCGTACATTTTAGGGGGGCTAGCATCCCTTAAGGGGCCCTTTAAAGGGGTCTAGAGGGGATCTATAGTGGGGTTCCATGATATAGGGACCTTCATAAGGACACTAATAAAAGGGATCATATAAGGAATCCTAAGAAAGGTGCTACTATAAGGTTTAGGGGTTTGGGCTCAGGGTTTTGGGTGTTAGGGTCTTTCAGGGTTTAGAGTTTAGGGTTCAGGGGTTTGGGTGCTAGGATTTAGGAATGAGGGCCGTCGAGGGTTTAGGGTTCAGGGTTTTGGGGTTTAGAGGTTTGGGGTTTTGGTGTTTGGGGTGTTAGTGTTTAGGGGGTGTTACGGTTTAGGGCCGTTTAGGGTGTAGGATACTGACAATTTGGATGTTAGGGTTTACGGCCGTTTAGGGTTGGGGGGTTTGGCAGTTTCGTTTTTGGGGGTTGGGGTTTAAGGGCTTAGGGGTCTTACAGGCATGCTTTGACAGTCTTGATATGGAACTTACCCAGAATCGCAAGAAAGTTGCACTTTGGGGCGTTCCTGGGCGCGCTTCTGAAAACGAAAAGTGTTCTGCATAGGTTTGCGGGGGTCTAGGTTTTAGGATTAAGATTCCGGGTTAGGGCAGAAGACGGATACGCAGCGAGCCCAAGACCCTGCTTTGGACATATCATCGCGCATGTGCCAAATTCCGGAGAGGCGTTCACGAACGGCAGCAGTTCTGCCGCACAAGTTCACGAAGTCCACCGTCGTGCTGGGGAAGCCCAGCAAGAAAGAAAGGCAGTGGAAGAAACCCTAAACCCTAAACCCTAAACCCAAAAACCCTAAACCCTAAACCCTAAACCCTAACGTCTGTCTTGGTTCAGGTCTTGAGCCTTCTGGTTGACAGGAACGGAACATCCTGCAAGACTGCCTTTCTCTGTTCCACTCAAAGCAACACAACCGTACGGTTGATGATATAAATCTTGCATGACCCATAATGAGGAATACCATACTTCCCATAGTTTAGGGTCCTTAAGGTAATGCAGGATTTAGATCACCAACCCTAAGAAGAACCTCATGCTCCTTCGCGTCCTCAACCAGAAGCCTAAAGGTGCCAGAGGCCCGGTTTCGCTTTGCTAGCTTGTGCTTTAAACCCTTTCAGAATTATCTATGAATAGGTTCCCTTTATAAGGAAACAAGGGAAATCAAAAATTTATCCCAAAGCACAACCCAGTTTGCTTTTGACCGCATCTCGACATCAGAGTTAGCCTCAACCCTAAATCCCAAATAGCCCTAAACCCTAAGCTCTAAAGCCTAAACCCGACATGCTAAGCCCCAGTCCCTAAAGTCCTAAATCCTGAACCTCAGCTTCTAGGGTTTGGGGTTTGAGGGTTGATGCCGCACAGCTTGACCCTGAACCCATGAAGATGAACCCCAGACCCTAAACACGAAGTCCTAAATCCTAAACCCCTATAGGAAACTCCAGAAAGTTGGAATATGGTTTCATGGTAGGATACCCTATAATTTTCCATAGAAGGGTCAGGATAGTCATATTCCAACTTTCTGGCTTTTACCTTAAGGCCCTATCTCCAGAAGTCAAGCGTACATGGGTACCCCACTTACTCCCCTGATTCTGATCCTCACCAAACCCAAAACCTTAAACCGCATAGCCAAGAAATCCTAAACCTTGGGCCGTAGACTCTATGCTTTCACGCCCTGCGCACTTGGCCCGAAACCCCAAAGCCCTAAACCCTAAAGCCCTAAGCACGAAGCAGCTAGCCCTAAAACCTCAAGCCCCAAAACTTAAACCCTTAAACCCAGCTCGGCCTAAACCCCCTCACTCCCCCAGAGACTCCAAAACTCCTTAATCCCAGGGAGAGTATACCTCCATTGCATCATACTTGACAAAAGACCCCTCCACAATTCGTATCTTAAACCATGCTTTACAAAAAGAACCCTGGGAGTTTCCGAAAATTAGGGATACCTTATTTCTGGGGTCCTTCGGTTGATGATATAAATCCTGCATTACCTTAAGAACCCTAAACTATGGGAATTATGGTACATTCCTTATTATGGGTCATGCAGGATTTATATCATCAACCGTTATGATAAGGATCCTACTATTAAGGGTACTATATTCAGTCCATAACTCGTAATACAAACCCGCACGGTCCCATACAGAGCCTTGAGCCTTGCACCTACTTAGAGGATCATGGGACTTAGTAAGTAGGTTATAACTGGGGTTATAAGTCCCCTAAGTGGGGTTATCCTTAATATAACCTACTTATGACCTTACTTACTAAGTCCCATGAGCCTTGCGCCTGCACTGACATGTGCCGCGCCGCTCGAGGGACCAAGTGAGGGCTTCCGCGCGGAAGGCGGTGACGGCGTTGAAGAAGCTGATCTCAATCACCTCGTGGGGCGCGCGGTTTAGATTTTAGGGTTTAGGGGTTTAGGGTTTAGGGTTTGGGGTTTAGGGGTTAAAGGTTAGGGTTTAGGGTTTAGGAGTTTAGGGTGTAGGGTTTAGGGTTTAGGGGTTTCAGGTTTCCGTAACTTCCGTATCTAGAAAGAGGCTCTACATGAAGGTGCTATGTAACGTTCTAAGAAGGAACCGGATCGCATTGAGGGTTTAGGGTTACCCTAAGCTGAACCCTAAACCCTACGCCATAATTGAGGGTGAAGGTGCAGAGTCTTCTTCAGCTTTGAGTGCTAGGCCAGGTGTTGACGCTTAGGGCTCCAATAAGCGGGATCCCACAAGGGCGCTATGAGGGCTCCATCATAAGCTTTACAATGAGGGTTCTGTAGTGCAGGGGATGAACCTGCAAGCTCTGAAGCCGTAGTAGTAGTAGTAGTAGTAGTAGTCGTCGTAGTGGTAGTGGTAGCAGTAGCAGTAGCAGTAGCAGTAGCAGTAGCAGTAGCAGTAGTAGTAGTAGTAGTAGTAGTAGTAGTAGTAGTAGTAGTAGTAGGAGGATTTGGAGTCTGTCACTAGCGTCTTGAATCTGCCTTCCAGCCATATACTACCCGAGTTCGCACTCCTAGGCGTTTGGGAAGCTCTGAAACGCTTGCATCGCTTGGGGGGAGAGTAAACCCTAAACCCTAAACTCCAAACCCTAAACCCTAAACCGTAAGGAAGGTCCAGATTTCCAAGTGGTGCTCATCTTTCGGGTGCCCCAAAGAGAATTCTGATTGAGGAAACCAAGACCTTCCAATATCGCTGCATTATGGAATATACCTTAAATTATAGTAGGATGCCTTATATGCTTTACGGCATATTCCTTATTCATGGAATAGACCTTAACTTATAGTAGGATGCCTCATATGAATTACGGCATATTCCTTACTTTCGGGATTTTGGAAGCTCTGGGAAGCTCCTCACAGGCTAAAGGCACCTTTCCGCAACCACTGGAGGTCCTTTGGGTTGTCTTTCAGTCCCAAGTAGGTTTGGGGTTGGGGTTTTGGGGTTTAGGGTTTAAGGGTTTTGGGTGTAGGCTTTAGCCGTTTGGGTTTAGGGATTTAGGGTTTAGGGATTTAGGGTTTAGGGGGTCAGGGTTTAGGACCTAGTAGGAACCTCTTCAAAGGTCAAGTCGAAGGCAGAAGCAACCCAAGTGGGCACCCCGCTGACAATCATCATTAGGCCCATTAGGGTTTAGGATTTAGGGTTACTCTTCGGAGAGCAGAACTGCAGGCGAGTTGCATACTTCGTCTCGGCGAAGAAGTGGAGGTCTGTTGCCTTACAATCAGTCTCAGGAAGCCCACCATGAGGATTGTAGCTTACAGCGGGGATCTTAACACTACGAACTAAGGTATATTTCTGAAGTGCTGGGCATTGCTGAGCTGCACTGGCGTAGACGGTGCAGGACTTTTCCGTAGTGCTCAGCCGCGTGACGTAGCGGTTGTACCTCGGATGCCGCTGCAGCTGTCGGCTTAACCCCACAAGAAAGCCTACCTCTCCAAGGAAGTCTACGACGAAATCACAACTAGGACCCCTAAAGACTGCAGGGCTTCGCGTCCAGGCTTTTGTTGGTCTACTGAATTATTTTGGCTTTGGGTCTCCGATTTAGGATCAAGGGTTTAGGGTTTAGGGTTTAGGGTTGAGGGAGCTTCGGGTTTGGGTGTGTCGTTAGGACTTCTTTCGAACTGCGGGGAGGAAAGTCACGTGGAAGATGCTGCTTGCATCGTCCGACAGCAAGCCAGAAGTAAGGCGGCGTGGAACGCACGGGTGCTTGCAGTATTCGGACGATTGCGAAGAGCTCGGGCAAACTGGGGCACGGTTGCAAGCGAGGCCGTCACTGCCTGCGAATCCACTTGCTGCTGCAAATGGGTGACACGCACCAACCGGTGAAGGCATGGCCGAAAATTCAGCATCACATACTCACCCACATCCATAGACCGGCTCTTGGGCAGTGCTGCATGCTTTCGCTGGGGAACAAACCCCTGCCCAGACCTGCACCTCCACAGACTTGACACTGAGACGAGGGTCTTGGGCTTTTGGGGCATTGGCGTTGGGGTTTAAATCCCGGAAAGGAAGGGACGACCAAATCATCGAGGAGGAGGAGTAGAGCATTGCAAATGCGTGCTGCGGCAGCCGCAGCTTGTGAGGCACGGCTGGTGGATGCAATGGGAAGCAGTGGCCATTCCCAAAGTTCTAATCCGTAAACCCTGCCCTAAACCCCCCAAAATCGTAATCCCTAAACCCCAAACCCCCAAAGTCTTAATCAATAAACCCTAAACCCTCACACTCCCAAGAAGCTGCTGCGGCTGATCAGAAAAATCCTGCACTACCCATAATAAGGAATTGACTAGAATTCCCATAGTTTAGGGCCCTTAAGGTAATGCAGGATTTCTCTCATCAACCGTAGCAATCCCGGGAAGGCGACGGGGATCATAATTCGGGTCGAGAGCCTTTGCAGAGGCCTGTGGGTTGGGGTTTAGGGGTTTGGTTTCAGAGTTTAGGGCTTGGGGTTTAGGGTTTAGGGTTCCGGGTTTAGGGTTTAGCATTGAGGGTTTAGGGTTCAGGGCCACGAAGGGTCAATGAGGACTCAAGTGCACGGCTTTCGAACTTGTACACTCTGAACCTATCAAAGCCGCGACGGTCAACAACAAAAACTAAACCTTTGCCTGAACCCCCCAAAGCCTCCTCACGCGTTTAAGGACCTATACAAGGAAGTCGAAACAAGGAACCCCAAAAGCGTAGGCCCTTAACCCAACACCCTAAACTCAGGCTTCTTGGGGTTTTAAGTACGGTTTCGGGTTTTCGCGCGACCCGCCTGGCAAAGCGCGGTGCCAGGGACCAGATGGGAAGGGGCTCCAGCCGGCAGGTGACCATCCTTACCGGTGTAGAACCTAAAGGGTTTGGGGTTTTAGGGTTTTTTAGGGTGTTTTAGGGTTTTCTAGGGTTTAGGGTTTAGAGTTTTCTGGCTTTAAGCTGTTCGGGTTTTGGGTTTGGGGCTTTATCATTTAGGCCTGAGGGGTTGGGTTGTCGGGTTTGGGCTTAGGGTGTTAGGGTTCAGGGTCTAGCTTCTGAGTTTGCAGGGCTGTAGGAATCAGGTTCAGGCCTCAGACTGGGTTTAGGGCTTACGTTTTGGTTTAGGGTGTTGGGTTTGGGGTGCTATTGCAGGCTTGTGGGCTGCAGGACTTAAGTCGGGTAGGGCTTTGGGTGTTAAGTTTCGGGCTTCCGGTTCGGGGACCGTTTAGGGTTTAGGGTTTAGGGTTTAGGGTTTAGGGTTTAGGGTTTAGGGTTTAGGGAGCAGCAGACCTTTCAGAACGCCATGATGGCCAGATGCTCGCTGGTTGGAGACCCTAGAGCCCGAGCACCCTAAGCTGTCGACACGAAACCGCGCAACAGCCCCACCCTAAACCCTAAACCCTAAACCCCAAAATGAAAGTGCTGACGGATCTCTGCCCCATGACGTCCGGCAAGACCAACCTGGCACTCAGCAGCTGAGACTGAAAATGAAGCTCTTTGCCTTGTCCTACCGTCGGTTTACTATGCCTGTTTGTAAGGGGGGTTCCGAAAATAGGGGTACCGTATGTCGGGGTCCTTATAATAAGGATCCTACTATTTGGGGTACTATATTAAGGTCCCCTGTTTTCGGAAACTCCCATATGAGTTTAGGGTGTTACAGGCTTGGAGCTTAGGGCCTAGGGGTCTCAACGTCTAGGGCAACCATAACCCTAAACTCCAAAGCTCCAAGCCCCTCCGCTAAGCTCAAATTCACATCTCATCTCAGGGTGCAAGGCTTCAAGATCTTCCCTAAACCCTAAACCCTAAACCCTAAACCCTAAGGTTTTTAGTTTTTAGCAACCCTGACTCACGAATCCCCAATGCCCCAATAGCTCGAAAGCTTCAACCATTGACAGACTGACCATTCGCAGAATCGCTAAAACGGGAGCCTTCATCATTCGAATGAGTCTTGGGGGTGCTGTACTATAGTTACTGCAACTATGATAAAGAACGAAGAAGAGAATTAATACCTTTTAGGCTTCTGTGATGGAACTTCCAAATTGTCACCCCATGAAACCCTACTATAGCCCCTACTCTTGGCGGTGCAGAGTTGTTCACGGCGGCCTCAGGTAGCCATAGTCTGCGAGCTCACTTCCTTCGCGGCCCCGGATGGTAATTCCGGGCTGAACCTGATAGAGGGCGGGGCTTAGCTGCCAGGTAAACCCTAAACCCTAAACTTTGAAAGCTTCAAAGCCGGGTAGTGTGGATAAACACTCAATACCTCAGCCCGTTCCCGAGTTTTCGTTTCGGGAAGTTAGGATACTAGAAGCCTCTAGTTAATCCAGTTAAAGGTCGGGCCCTAATCTCAAACGCCTCGAGAGCCGATTCACTCTGAAGCTAAACCTTCACGGCATCTGGACGAACAGTAGGCTTGAAGGTCTTGGGGTTCTCAGGGCAGAGGGTTTAGGGTAGACTTTCGGGTTTTTATAAGCTTTTCAGATGCCACAAGGAACATATTATCGGAGTTGCAGCTCTTAGGCCTTGAGCGTTTCAGCCTTGATTCCCGGTGATTGGGACTCAAGGCCTTGAGGAATCGAACTGGAAATGAAACACAGCTACATACCGAGTTCGCTGGCCAAGACATGGTAAACTTTCGAAGGTAGCAGGATTGAATATGCAGAAAACCTGCGCAACGCTACCCCTGAGACCCTATACCACCCTAAACCCTTCACCCCAAACCCTAAACCCCTAAACTCCTAAACTCCTAAACCCTAGACCCACTCAGCTGCTGAAGCCCCTGACCTCAAGTTCGAGCCCAAAGGTCCGAACCGCTCCGTCAACTCTGAGCCGTACTTGGAGGGTCACGGGACTTAGTAAGGGCTTAAGGGCTCCTTTAAAGGGATCTATAGGGGCACTATGAGGGTTTGTAGAGTTTAGGGTCTACTTGGAGGGTCATGGGACTTAGTAAGTACGGTCATAAGTACTCTGATTGGGCTTAGAAGTATAGTTACCTTAATAACGACCCTAATTACTAAGTCCCATGATCCTTTAAGTACTGGCTTAGGGTTTAGGGCTTAGGGTTTAGGGTTTGGGTTTAGGGTCTGGGGCGTAGGGTTTAGGGCTTAGGGTTTAAGGCTTGCTGTCTAGGCTCAGGGTTTAGGGTGCAAACCTCAAAACTACGATGACCTAATTACTAAACCCTACAAACCCTCATAGTGCCCCTATAGATCCCTTAAAGGAGCCCTTAACCCCTTACTAAGTCCCTTGGACCCTTGGGTCGCCCGTTCGGGCTTGTTGGTTCTTTCAAGGTTTCGGACCACCAGATGGGTGCTTGCCAAAATTAAGGATCCCCTTTTGGGTCCCTAATATAGTACGGCACCTAATATTTTAGGGGTACCCAAAAAGGGACCCTAATTTTGACAACCACCCGAAGGTTGAAGAAGCGCCAAAGCCGAAGTTGCACCGCGCGCACCTAAACTCTAAAGTCTCTCGCGACCCCCCGCCGCCCCTTGCCTGAAGCTTAGACGCTAGACACACCCGGTCGCGAGACTCTAAACCCACTGTTGATGATATAAATCCTGCACTACCTTAAAGACCCTAAACTATGAGAATTATGGTATATTCCTCATTGTGGGTCATACAGGATTTATGTCATGACCGTAGCACCTAGCCCATGAAGCACTAAGGCCCTAAACCCTATGCGGTACATCAGAACCCTACTTACCTACTTCACCCGGAATCGAAGCCGCTGCAACCGCCTGCACCCGCACGACGTTGAGGGTGGAAGTGGAAGCACTGCTGTAGGACAGCACCTTCAGAGAGGGCCCAATACCCCTAAATACCTTGATGAACGGTTGTGTGGGATCTGCATCAGTTATAGAAGGTTCTTACAACAATTTCATCAGGGCTTGAGAACGGGTTTGATATGCGTCTTGACAACGGGTGTGAGAAGGGTTTTTCGGGTTCAGACCGGCCAGTACCCCTTGTTTAAGTCCCTGACTAAGGACTTTGTCTTAATACTATATGAGTGGTTGTCAAAATCATGGCTCTTTTTTAGGTACCCTAAATATTAGGTGCCGTACTATATTAAGGACCCACAAAGGGACCCTAATTTTGACAACCACCCATATGGGGCCTCGTACTGTGAGAGCCTCTGAGGCATAATCCGGTAATTCGGGGGTACTGGCCTCGGTGGATTCCGGTGCAGGGTTTTGGGTTTAGGGGGGGCTTCTGTGGATTCCGGAGCCGAATGTAACGGCGTTCCCCAATTTAAGGTCCCGTTTCCGAAAATCGCACAAAAGCGAGGCTAACGAGTGTAAGCCCTTGCCTTAGCCGTATAGTCGACGTATGAAAGCAGTCTTCTAATGACCTTCGTCCCGAAGCCTTAAGCCCTCAGCTTAGGGCTTCGGGGTTTAAGGTTTAGGGTTTTGATTTTGTTGGGGTATATACGTGGACCCTAAGACACCTACCCTTTTAGGGCTCCTTCATATGATTTCCTTCTATACGTCCATAAAAAGGTAGGTTATTCAGGCTTAAGAGTAGGGTTTAGGCTCAAGAGTCAAGCGTTCCGTTTCAAGCAACGGGACTTCTTGTATTGTGGGGCTGCTTGGGGTGATGTGGCCTCCTGCTTGAAGGATCATGGGACATTTGTAACTTTTAAGGGTTCCTTAGAGGGTTCCTTAAAAGGGATCTATAAGGGATCTATGGGGGTTTAGTGTTTAAGGATCATGGGACTTGGTAACTAGTGTTATTATTACGGTAACTATACTTAGAACCCCAATTATGGTACTTATAACCTTACTTACTAAGTCCCATGATCCTCCAAGTGGTGTTGCTTGTAGCGGACGAAAATGTCCAGTCTCAGGACCACTGAAGCCCGAAGAAATAGACTGTATCTGAATCCCAGCCCTGCCTAAAACCCTACACCACCCTTGAAGCCTAGACCCTCAAAGCCTAAACCCTGAACCCCGAAACCCGACCCTAAACCCCAAACCCCTAAACCGAAGGCCACGAGAGCCCTGCCTGTGAAACAGGGGTCGGCTGCACGAGCACCTCGAGCGTCTGGATCTGATTTTTCCAGGTCACGTTACCGGAATTAAGGGGCTTTCAGCATGTATATGGGTTTCAGAGGGGTACTTTACATGTGCTGAGGAAGTCAATGTAAACTCCCACAACAACAGGCATACGGGAGTTGCAAAGTTCTTTAAGGAGCTTATCGTTTAACATGGTAAAAACCTAAACTAAATAACTGTAATTCCAATCCATTTGAAGGGCAAATGGGTGGAATTTTAGGTTTTCGAAGCCTTCTCAAAGACTCCCAAATCCCTGAAACTGAGTGAGGTGGTAAGGTACACTGCTCTAAGTTAAGGTTTAGGGTTTAGGGGGATTGAGGAACTGCAGATAAATACAAGGTCAGTTCTGAAACACAACACTCACACAGCGGAAACCTAGGCCCTGAACCTTGAACCACAACAGGTAGGTTCCCTTGCTGTTATCTGAAGGCTGTAAAATCCCATACACCTCACATATTCCACAGGAGCTTTACTAATTAAGGCGCTTGTAGTAGCCTTTACGCTCCATAAACCTCGTAGAAAGCATCCAGTTCTGAAGGCATAACCCTAAACCCTAAACCCTAAACCCTACATAACCCTAAACCTCTGTAGTACACCCAGGCACTCCATGGGCTCCCAGCACCAGCACCCGCGCTGGCTGGCTTACGTTGGGGCCCATGGCCGGCAAGCCATCCCCTTGCAGATACGGGTCGATCTATTTGTCGATCGATCCATCCATCTATCTGTCTGTGGTGACAGATGGATAGGTCGGTAGGTAGGTAGGTAGGTGGGTAGGCAGGCAGGCAAGCAGGCAGGCAGGATTTTAGGTAGGTCGGTGTTGGGTTTCGGGCTTCTGTTCTCAATGCTGGTGCTTTTATGATAAGGATCCCGGTGAAGGACCTTTATCGCCAGCTCTGAGCTTGGGTTTCACAAGGTGAAGGCTTGGGGTTTAGCGATAAACCTTGAACCCCTGCCTTGAACTCAGTAACAACCCTCTCAGTATGGGCCTCAACATAAAGATCGCCATTGAATTCATAAGCCTTCTTAAGCGGGGGTTCTAAAAACCAGCGGTCTACAATAGGGTTTTCCGCCTGAGCAAGTTCCTCACCGTGATATAATCATACGGGGGCTATAGGGCATGTTTCTGCGAGAATTCAGACCTTATAGTCGAAACCCACAAAAGGAACCCGATTAACCCTTGTAAGGATCCGTATACAACCTTCTAAACACCTCATGAAGACCTACGAACACCCGGTTTTAGGTGTACCCTTTCACACTAGAAAAGCCACTCAGAGCCTCGAAAATCGCTGTCAAACCCATATGGCCCTGACACGGGCACCCTTGACATTAATCTAAACTCTGGCTCTAAATAAACCTAGGCTCAACCCCCCGAACCCCCCCCCCCAAACCCTTTCTGGCACCTTTCTGGGGTCAGCACTGCTCGGCTCAAAATGCAGAACAGCTCTTTACAGGCAGAAGCCTACAGAAAAGGAACTAAGGCCCACGACCGCTCGTTCTGAACGCACGATCCCATGTCCAAAGCAGCCGTTAAGTGATCCTCCAAGAGAGTGAACTCGCGAGCAGGCCAGGGCAGAAAAAGGGATGGCATCTTGACTTGTATCGCCGTCGAAAAGGGGCGGATCTCCGCCGCATGTACTTTTCCCCCTGCTCGGGACACCACCGCTCGGACCTGTAGACGGAAGAGGCGCACCCTCTCCGGCAAGTCAACAAGTCCCGCTCCAATCTCCGCCTTGTTGTAGGATCGCCAGGTCTTGGTACCTCGGTCAAAAACGGGCGGTAACATGTCCATGTCGTTCTCGAAGAGGAGATAGAGGTGCAGGAAAGAGACCCATCGCAAAGGGGCCTCCCGGTTGACCTTATCATACAACCAGGCTGCCAACGTCTTGACAAACTCCGACCCATATTGGGCCAGATGCTTGGGCAGCGGGAGGCCTAATCGACCCATAGTTGGCGATGTGCCTTCCACAACGGCTGGTGCAGACTCCTGGACAGGCGAGACCTGAGTGGCCGCCCGCGCGATGTCCCGCAGTCTCTCAAGCATAGCCGTCCCGCGAATGACTTGGAGCACGTGGTCCTTCTTGACGGTTTGCCAAAGCTGCCAGAAGGCCGGGTTCTGTGCGAGGGCCTCTCGATCCGCGGCCTGGTTGTTCCAGTAGGCCCAATCCTCCAGAGGGCAGGTAGACGCCGCATCCGGAACATGGGCTGCAACCTTGTGAATGGACCATCCAGGGGGCCCTCTCTCAATGAGTGAGGCCAGCTGGCTCCAGAGGTCGAAATTCGCCATGGCGGGGTGACAGATCTGCTCACCTGTAGCAATGCGCCGAACCATGCGAACCACCCCTGCACAGTCAGCCCAAAGGCGGGCCGGTCGCCACCATCGGATCATGCAATTAAATGCACCAATGACTGCCATGATTTCAGCCCGGTACGCAGTCTGAAGGAGCCCAGAGAGCGGTGCCCCAGCCGCTGTTGTGGGCTCACATCCAGTGGGAGCGGCAACAATGACCGCCCAGCTCACCAAACGAAAGTTGGGCTCAGTTGGGTGCAGACAAGAACCGTCCGTGAAAAGGTCAATGGTGCCTGTCGTCGGGGCAGGGCAAAGAATACAGTCTGCACAGTCAGGTAGCCCAACAAGGAACCGCCAGAGATCAAGTTGCCCACGCGGCCGCATGGCCCAACCTCGGAGCGACTGCGCAGGTGGAAGCATGCCCACGTCAATACCGTGCGGCCCAGGTGGGACAGGACAGCAAGCCTGAAAGTGAGGGCAGTACCAAACCCTATGTTTAACACTATCAACAGCACCACAAAACCGGCAAGTCCGATCATCAGCAGCATCCTCAGAGAAGTGATGCAGGGCATCCTGCGTGTAGAAAGCCCCGCATAGGCCAAGGGCAATGTTGACCTTGTCCTCAGCAGTGAACGCCTTTTGCAGCTTTCGTGTGATGGCCGGGTCAGCATTCTCAAGGCCCTGGAATCCGGGCCGCCTCGAGAGCTCGGTACCTATGGCAGTCTGCCAGGCATAAACCAATCGGAAAAGCAGCTCCTGGGGTGCCACCAGCCAGGGATCAAAGGACGAGATTGCATCACGGACAGTCTCCGTTTCGGGCTCCCAAGCCCACCCAATATGGGCGAGCCGTTCCAGGAATACCTTGGCAGGGCCTGGCGCCCAGGGACCGGCTCTGCCCAGGAGCGAAGCCAGGAGGGCGGTCATGGTGCCACGCTCAGCATGCTTCCGCAGATGCAAGAACGTAGCCCAAATGGCAAAGAAGTGCGGGTCAGCAAGAGGAAACTCGACCATGCCTAAGAAGATCAGCGAGCTGATTCCCGGCCTGTCAAGGCGAAGGCCCCGCATGGCCGAGGCACGTAAGTGTGTAAAGGTGGCCAAGCTCAGGGTAACTCCCGAAATGCCATGCAAACCGGCAGGCCAGGCCGCGGTTTTGAGGGCCTTGATCTTTTGCCCGCGGGGCGCTGAGGAGGCCGTCAATTTGGGCCACAAGGTCTCCAGGGCATCAACGCGCCCCTGCACGGTAGCATTGGTGCGCTGTCTGGTAAAACTCAAATGCCCCCCCAAGCTGCGTGTCGAGGCAGCGACAGGGAGCCCTGCCCGACGAAGGTGGCGCCTGTGGGCTGCAGTGTTGGCCCAAAAGACGGTCTTGCGGGGATCCATCGCCAAATCCCATCCTCGCACAAACTCCTCCACCACCGCGATTAGCCGGTGGATCCGTTCCGGGGTGGAGTCCTTGAGTTGCCAATCATCTACGTATGAGGTAAGGCTCCGAGCAAAGCCGGCCCGGGATGTGTGCCAGTGCAACATGAGGTCCACTATGGCCATAGCCACTACCGAGAGCCCGCAACCTTCGGGAAATCCAGTCACTGACAGGACCGCAGGTCCAGTGGCCCCTCTCACCTTGAACCTCCTCGCAATGCAGGTAATGGCGCCCGACCACGCCCGAACGAGTTCAGGGGGAAAGCCGAGTTTGACCGCCATGGCCAGCACCGGCGTGCGCGGCAACGTGTTGAAGGCCTTTGACAGGTCCAGGAAGGCACCAACAAGCGGCAAGCCAAGGTCTTCGGCTTCCTCTAACGCAAGCTGGAGACTGTACCACACACCTGCAGACGACCTGCGCGGCAAGTTGCCAACGAGCTCAGGTGGGGCAAGCTGCTCAAGGAACTTCAACGCCTCACGAGCCCGGATCGAGCTCCACGTCCGGTAGGGCAATGGGAGGACACAGATAGGGCGGAATTGCGTAACCAGCTCGGCCTCTGGCACCTTCTCAACACTCGCCACACTGGCATTCAGCAACTGTTGTGGCCATCTACCGGTGGATTCAGCATGGCGGACGATCTGGAGCAACCGCTCAACATACGGCTCTGGGAGGGCCAGCAGATCAGCCTTGGAGACCCCATCTGGGCCTGAGGCAGACTTTGAGTGCTTAGCACGAACGGCCTGGGTCCAGGCCCCACAGTCAAGCTCCCTCCAAGGGTAGGCGGGCAGATCAGGCAGGACAACATGGTCAGTGAGGGACTGCCAGGCAGCGGGGTCAACGTGTTCATGCCTCATCCACCTCTTTTGCCATTCGTCAGCAAAGGCCTGAAACACCTCGGGCAGGGATGCAAGCGGCTTTTCCTGACTCAGGACATCCCCTGCAACAATACCTTCAGTACGAGCCCAGACAACATCCGGTTCGGCATGGTAGACCTCAACCGGCCGCCCACTCACGAAGAAACCTTGCTCAGAGTTCCACTCAGTTGGTTTGGCGAGCACAAGGGAGGAGTCTGCAGGCCGGACCTCTTGGACAACCGCCGAAACCCTGAGGACAATGGTGTCAACAGGCTGGCTCGGTGTCTTGCGAAGGTCATGGAAGATCAAAGCAGGGTCCGCGGCCCGCCTGGCAGCCGCTGCACTGCGACGGCGCTTGGTGAGGTCTTTCTCCATTTGAACCACATTTCTTTGGAATGCCGTTTGCAAGGCCTGCGCAACCTCGGGGGAGGGCAGGCCCTCGGGACACGTTGCCGGGTCATCGCTCATCCGGACCGGGCGCTCGAGCCACCAACGGATAAAGCCACCACTGAAGCCTGTAGCATGTACGATAGAGTGCCAAAGGGCCGCTCGGTATTCCACAGCACCGTCGGTAGGTGTACCGCGTTTCAAAGCATGCACAAGAGACTGCAGCCGGCGGAGCTGCCGAAACCAGGCAGCGTATATCCGGTCATGCCCAAAATAACCAGGCGTCACCTCGCCCTCGCGCCCGGCATGGACAGGGTACTGCTTGGTCTTCACCAGGGCGGGGCTTTTGGTTGCAGCGCGGCCACAAGCCGAACGGGGCAGAGCAGGGCCACCACTGGCACGATGCACCCTTGTGGCAGTGTTCTCCCAGTCTTTCCACAGATTGTGGTAGTCAGTGTCGGGGTCTCCAGTCCAAGTCGGGAGCGAGATCTGGGAAGCAGAAATCTGACTGGCAGACGGCCAGACCGCTGGTCTTGGCACTCGCCAGACCGGTTTAGGCGGGGAGCAGGTTTGGGCCTTGAAGGCAGCCGTGAGCAGGGCATGGTCGGCAAACCAGGTGTCATCAACCTGAACATCGACAAGCAACTCCTGTAACTCCGGAGAGATGAACAGGTAGTCCTTCCTGGTCGTCCTTTTACACGTGACCTTGGGAAGCACCCCATGCCGG